TAAAAAAAAAGTTCTCCAGGGTGTCCTGAACCTTTAAGGAAGGTGGAAGTTACGCGATTGTTTATACAAGAGAGAAAAGTGTACAAATGTTAATGCATATCCGAGAAAAATGTGTAGTGAGGGGTTTTACAGCTTAAAACATCTATAATGATTGTAAAAAAAAATAAATCGTAATACACTGATTTCACCTATTGCGGGAGATTTTTAGAACATAACTCCCACAATACACAGGAACCACTGTACACAGTGCTAAAATGATCACAGTATTATTTGTCAAATATATTGGTGTATATTAATTCAATAATATTAATGCTTCCTTAAATAATAACATTTATTATTATTATTATTATCATCATCATCATCTTTACAGTAAGTTCAGACTTACAAAAGCTTAAAATCTGGTGACCCTGCTGAAATATGGTGGCACAAAATCTTATAAAAATATAAAAAATAACAACATAAATTAAAATGGCAAACATTTTAAATGGCGTTTAAGGGTGTGTTTGTGAGTGTTTGACACATTGACCATGTTGTACAGGCTCAGACTTTCAATAAAAACTTACTTGCAAACTTACAATAAAAATAGCCAAATCTTGAACTGCTCATATCAAGAAAGCTATGCAAGATGCTTGGGGGTTACGTGTGTTTAAATCCTATCAAAACCAATATAAGGGACTGCATTCAGAAACACAAACACTCTTGTTGAGGTTTACATATTTTCAATCCCAATGTATACTTCAAATATTCTATCATTAATAAGTGACCTACCAGTGTCAAGACCACATTCAACGCAAGTAAACAGTGTGAATGTACAGTATGATGCAATAACACACTGAAATCAAAACAATAGGTCCCTATAGAGCAATGTACAGCAAGCATGATCATATGCTGCACAACAAAGCAAGTCTTTTTTTCCTTGTTGCAATGCAATTAAATAGACTGCCCTGTTTAGATTTGTGCTTTAGATCGTGTGCCCGGAGCTAGTGAAGCTGCACAAAAGGGCGAGACTGGTAGCGCTACACACAAAACTGTTTTAAAAAGCAGAATAGACAGACAAAAAGCATTCCAGAAAAAAAATGGTAATGTCAAGGCAAGATTTTTTTTTAGTGTCAGAAAACAGAGAGCCTTCTGATATGAAATCATCAACAATAAAAGTTAAGTAGCAATTTTAACGATTTAACAATTTCAGAACTAAAAAGACTCAAAGAAAAGTTTAACAATTTTTTAGTAATGTATGCATAATCATGATAGACGCATGTCATGATAGTTTATGTTTTTCTGTAGTACTAAATTTAATTTAAATTTACTCTTGTTTATTGTTTAGAGAAGACAGTAGAGCCAAATGGGGAGAAAAATGACAATATGCATATCTCAGAAAAAAAAAAAGAGAAGATCAGGATTAGTGTCATAAACATGCTGCTTAAAAATTTATTGTGGTCTGTGTCACCTCTAGTGCAGACATGAATCAATCACTTTACAAGCATGTTCTGTGTGAAAGCGTGGTTTGTCACAATTCGCCTGGTTTCAATCTCATCACGCTCTGTGCAAAAACTCCTTGTGATGGAACATGTGATGTTTTATAATAGCCTTGTTAATAAAATGTTCTACAAGAAGTACAGATAAATGATGCTCAACTCAAAGATCATGTATCCATTGATCAAAGAATCTGTACCAACTCAAAAACGCACTTAAAACAGTAGAACTAACAGTCATATAATCCAAGTTGAACCATTCACCACAAAATAAGGGGGACTTGATAAACAGTGTTTTTTACTGTTACAGGGTATACATGGATATGTAAAGAGTTGCAAAAGCCTCTATAGTAGGTGCTGACTTGATTTATTTTTGTCTAAAGTGAGCATTTTGCTCAGGCTCCTGTGTGTAGGTTGTCATTTAACGGTTATGGAGAATGAATATGTTCTTTTCATTTCACCTTTAAAGTGCAATTACAGAACAAACACAGGAGGTTGAGAAAAATGTGGATTTTAGAAGAAAATTTCCGACAGCACTTAGAGGTTTTTGCACCCAAACCCTTTATGTTATTTTCTATTCAAAACTCTTATTTGGCTATTGTGACCAGTGGGCTCCTGCATAAACTTTTTATTCCTACAAAGACACCTTGGGGGTGGTGTCTGGTTTATGCTGTACATCGGGGGAAAAGAAGTACTAAAGACTATGCACCCAATATATGCTCTTCATTGAACATGTATATATAAAATTATACCTCACCTTTTTAGAAGGACACTGTATACAGTATAACTGGATGTTAACTATGTTTACATACTGCCCATTCTATGAATAACTCCTTAACTTTTCAAATTTTGATTTTTGTAATGACGTGATTTGATTTTTTGATGTGCATGACATGCATTTTGTGAAGCTGCTTTGGAATGATAATTATTGTGAAAACCTCTATAAACTTGGATGGAATTTTAATCTATCCTTAAAAGACCTGTGTCAGACCTGCATATAGCTGAGAATGATGCTGAGAGTGTATAGAAGTAAAAAAAAAACCTGTATGCCAAGAACACCAACATCATACATCAAGGAAGTATTGGATAACGATTATTAAGGGAATTAGCTTGAGATATTGTATAATTTACGGATATTTATTTGAATTATCTGAGGTAACATCAGACTAAAGCCATGTTCACACTGGGCTTTCCCCACATAGACTTTTATTCATACACATGCAATTGCATCAGATCGGAAACTCAAGCTCGTGCGACAAGTTTCACAGTTCACTGCATTGCAAAGTTCGAGCTTGGTGAACAAGCTTGCATGAGACCAATTGAAGATCAAAACATGATCTCTCTGGACAGAAATTGAAAATATAGATTAGTCGCCTGCTTTTTTAAATGTCTAATCATCTTGTTTAATCTTGCACTTTTTGCAACATCATACAAAATAATTTTTCATACTCAAACTCTAGTGTGACCACGGCATAATATTGAGAAATGTTATTTAAAATGCATTACTGACTGTTTCAACTCACTTTTCTTTGCTGACAGTGAAAATGTTCTGAAAGACAGATAAAAAATTACTTACATGTACCCATTTAACATGTTAAACTAAAATTAGTAAACCGACTTTACCAAGTTCTGCTAGTAAGTCAGAAGTCATTTGGTTGCTGTATTAGTGAGCTAAAAACTGTTTTTATGTTCAATTAAAAATATGTGTTCAACAGAAAAAAAAGAAAAAAAATCATGCTAGTTTGGAACAAGTCAAGTTTAAGTACATTTTTGGGTGAACTGTTGATTTAAGTTGGCAGTTACAAAGTTACAGTTTGATTTAAGTGGTTACAAATATCCTGTGTGGAATATTACATCCTATAAATAAAAAAGCCATATATAATAAAAACTGAGTGAAATTTAATTGAAAAGGCATGTCAATCCAAGCTAATTTGAAAATGTGCAATTGAGTAACAGTGCAAAAGTTATCCAAATAATTTAGTTGACTTTTATTATGTATTAAAAGAAACATTAGTAGAGCCGGTTCTCTCTGTACAAAATACATAAGTTGTGTAGGGCCCGCAAATCACCAGCGGGCTCCATTGCTCTAGAAGATGATTTATTAACTAGGGCTGTGAAACAGAGAGACTCATTTTTAATTTTGGCTTCCAAGTATTATGAAAATATGATGCTTCTGTTCCTTCACTTTACAGTGATGTGATGGCCTTTTTTATGGAACCCTCAATCAGTAAAATCATTTAACATTACTTGACTGTTGGATATGAGAAATGCTATTACCCAGATGTTCTGTCCATGCAATCTGAGAAGTAAAACAAGGACTACAAAAGACTACTTTAGGCTTTGAGCCAGCACTTAAATAGACAAACGAACATGAAAAATATCTAAATGTCCAACTTTGTGTGTGTGTGTGTGTGTGTGTGTGTGTGTGTGTGTGTGTGTATGTATGTATATATATATATATATATATATATATATATATATATATATATATATATATATATATAAATCAGTTGTGTCTTTAACAAGCAAAACCAGTTGTAAGTGTCAGTGTAGTCAGTGTACAAAAGAACCATCCACTGCTCTTTACTGAATAATATTGTATCTTTGATAGAAATCAATTTATGTTTAAAGTCATACTGTGAATAATTTTTTTTTATTTTGATTACTAAATTATGAATGATATCAAAAATCCTTCATTTTTACATTTTTCATTACATTTTTACATTTCTACTGTGTTTGTCCTGTTGGTTCCAATTGTATTTTGTAATATACATTACACTCTTTCAACTATTTTTTTTCTTTTTTTTTCTTTTTTTTATTGTGTTTTCCTAATTGGTCACAATTTTATTTTTTAATTAATTACTTTTCAACTCAGTTTGTTGACAACATGTTCTGAAAGAACAGATAAATGGGTACGTGTATGCCATTTTTTTACAAACAAAAGTGGTGCCATACTGTAAGAGTCAGGTGTTATTTGTTTCTTGCGTTATAGTGAGCTGGAAATATATTTATGTTCAATTAAAATCTTTATTATGTGCTTTCTTATATAGTCAACTTAACGTCAACCCCTCAAATTCTTTGATCAACTCCATATGTAGCATTATATCTTACTCATGAAATCTAGGCTATTTACGCAATTGGGCATGCTTACAATACAATACATTCAATAAAGTCAATACTGATTTTTTTGTTTTTTAGCTTGATGGACACCAGCCACCTGGTCTTGTTTCATGAACTTGTTTACTCGATTCATTAAAAGATTCGACTCCACAGAACTCGTTCTTGAATCGGACCTCTCTAATCCCCAGTTGCAGCGCAAACGGTGTCAGTCAATAGCCGTGATGTCGCGCATGTTATGGTGCGGTTCCCATTCATGTCTCGCTTTAACGATACCACACAATGAGCTGAACTCAAAAGGTTCAGCGAGGACCACTACATCTTACGATTAACACTATCTCTTTACGGTCTAAAGATACACAGGGGAAATCTCACCATGAAAATGTGCCAGAACTCGTTTGTTTAACTTACCTCTGAGCAGCATCACAATAAAATGCAGAGTATGGAGACGCAACATGTTTGTTCTCGCCCTATGAGAAACTTCCATCTTACTGGCCGACACGGAAGGGCAGCAAAAGTGGAAAAGATCCCCCTTGTGCGCGCGGAGAGATTATCATAAAAATGCGCGATTAAGTTCCTGTATCGCCGTCGGAGGATATCCAGAAGCACTCGTCATAATGTTCTTCACCTCACACTGGAATCGGTTTACTTCAGGTCAAATAGACTTGAAAGTCCGAATATCCCGCATTAGATTGTATTTAGAGTGTTAAAAATCCAAAAGGATGCCACTAAGTCTCCTCGTTGCGCGAAAGATCCTTCCTAAATATTGCCCAAATTTTTCACACCCGAAGTATTTTTTTCCATGCGTCGCTGTGTCCAACTGATCAGTCTGCGGTGTTCTTCCGTTAGGTAGCAGTGAGTGAATTTAATTTTCGTTCCTTGGCTACTTTTGTCTTTCTAGTAAAGTCTAGCGGGTTGGGAGGCGTTTTTTTCACCCTGATGCGTGATGCGTAAGGCAGGATCTGTGTTTCCTCCGCATCCGCTCTCGCATCCTCTAATGCGGAATTATCCTGCACATCCTAAAAGTTGCAGGCGCGCACGGTTGTACCATTTACGCTTTCCATATTCTAGCTCCGGCGATGAGGAATAATTGTAGGCTGGTTTTCTTCCTCTGGAGATTGTTCTAATGTTACATTAAAAAGACAGAAAGCGTCTTCTGATGTGCACGAACGCAAAACAAAACAGCAAATGTTTGCTTAAAAATAGGTGCATGTGAGTTTGAAGAGGATTTATTTTTTCTGCGCCAACCTCTCCTCTCCACTCCAGCGCAGGCACTGGCAAGTCCAAACTGAGGTGCGAGGTTAAAGCATCACCTGAGTCTCTTTGTCCACATCAAGGGCTCCAATGTGCTTCCCCACTGACTTCTGTGCAAATATGCTTCATCTGAAAAGTCACAGTTGCCATCAAAACGCACATCAGAGTCGTGCGTTAAAAGCGCGGTGCAAAGTATTTTGCCCTTCACATTTTTAAGGAATAAAAAGTTTGGAGGCACAACTGGAAAAAAGCATTTCGTGAGTTTATGGCCGTCTTGGTTCTCAAATATTTGACTATGTAAACATTAATGAAGTAAACAGTCACTTATTTTCTAGGGTTTGATGTTTTTTGAAGTATAAATATGGTTATTTCTAATCTAATTTTAATCATTGCAAAGCAACAGCGACGCCTTGTGGGTATAATGAGCCTGTACGTGTGTTAATGGTTTAAGCAGACGTGTGCAATCAATAAAAATATATAAATAAATAAAATACTAAATCCTGAAATTACCTAAATTTGGAGAACAGCCAACAGCACCTAAACAAATTGCTTGATAAACATAATAAATGCCTTAATAAAAACCCAAAGTGCTCAGATATCTGTGTAAGGGCTTTTAAAGAAGGCAATGTTTTTCACTCTCAAATATGTACATATTACAATGGTTTATTTAACTAAATGAATAAATAATTACATTTAATTTATATATATATATATATATATATATATATATATATATATATATATATATATATATATATATATATATATATATATATTTATTTATTTATATATATATATATTTAATTATATATATGTTTGTAGGAATGAAGAGGTGATGTTTAATACCTAAACTCACTAAATGAGCACAAAAACGCAATCTCCAGCATTTTACCTTTAAAAAAATAATAATTAAAAAAATGAAAAAAAAAATACATTTACTAAATAGTTTTTTGGACTTCATTCGGTTTAAGTTTGTTGAACTAATAGTGATTTGATAACTGAACTTAAAACGTTAAGTCACTAATACTCTAAAAGTTTGATGATATCAACACAAATTATATATGTGTATGTGACACAATATTTAAGTTTACAGTAAAACTTCAATGGTTTGCCGCAATTGATTTCAAATAAAATCAAATCACTTTCATTGTCATATCAGCAGCAGCATGTGTGCTAGGATGAATGAAAAGCTTAGGTGCTGGTTCCAGAGAGTACAAAATACAGACAGTGCAAATACAACAACAGTGCAAAATACAACAGCATACTCCCCCCCCCCAAAAAACGGACAATGTAAAATTGACAGCGATATGTACAATGAATAGGTGTCCACATAGGCAGTATTGTTTCAAGCATGGATTGGTTAAAGTGCAGTGCATACTTCATATTGATGGTGTGCAGTGAGGGGTATGGAAGAGTCTGTGTGTGGTGTGTTAAGTGTTCATCAGTCTGATAGTTTGAGGGAAGAAGCTTTCCTTTAGCCGGCTAGTGCGTGATAGGATGCTGTGGAACCGTCTGCCTGAGGGTAGCATAGAGAAAAGTCTATGGCTTGGGTGGCTGGAGTCGCTGATAATTCTCTTGGCTTTCCTCATGCACCACCTGGTGTAAATGTCCTGGAGGGAGGGAAGCTCACCTCCTGCTACGCATCCAGAAGTTCGCACAATCCTATGTAGGCCTTTGCAATTGCATACTGTTGTTTCCTCAAACAGTATGAGTTAACTTATTGAGTTATACAGTGTAATAATAATTTTAATACTTTTATTACACTGCTGTTCTTCTTTATTTTACCAGGAAAATAGTAAAAATTTGAGGGGGAAAATCATGCTATCAACAAACAATTAACAAAATCTTTTAGCTCAATTATCAAATGTTAGTAAGATTATAACAGCCTTCCATTGCTGTTGTCGCCAGTAACAGGGGTGAGCACCTATTTTACACGTGCAATCAGAGTCCATGCATGCTAAAGTTGATTTCAAGCAGAATGTCTTTATTTTGTGCAGGAGAATAAAACAAAGCCTCAATCTTTGCTTCTCCTTTCTTCATTATCATGTGAATATAACATTCGCTGCATGTACACACAGCACATATCTAAACACTGCACTTTTCCCACACTAGTAAGCAAGTTACTGTTTAGCGCGGTCAAAAACCATAGCTGCGTCCCAAATGGCACACTATACACTATGCACTCATGCACTATGTACTTATGCACTTACACACTCAACAGGATACTATACATATGTAGTGGTGTCCCAAATGGCACACTAATGTTTTTTTACTAAGCAGAAAAAACAGTTTCCCTGATGACGTTTGATGGTCGCCAAATCAGTGAAATAAACAACCGCATTATCAAATAATACCTGCCGTGAGTAAAACCGCATTCACCATCGGGAGGCGCTATAATCACTCTCGTAGGAGAATTTTGCTTTCACCATCCAAAATAAATAAAGTTATTCAACATGTGCATCCAATAGCTCCGCCCCTTCCGCTACGTAAGCAAACCTGCGGTCGTTGAGTGCGTGAAGTGTCCATCATTACACACTTCATTTTACCGGCTGAATCAGTGCATCATCCGGGTAATTAAAGTGCACTTATTATTTTTAGAGTTTTCAGTGTGAACACACTACTTACACTATTTATACTACAAAATGGCGTAGAATAGTGCATAAGTATGCGATTTGGGACGCAGCTCATGTGCTTTCCCATACATGACGCTCTTCCTTGCTTACACAGGCACCTTAGTTATAGTTATCAGTTAGCAACACCTAGTGGACAACAAAAATCACTACAACACAAAAAAGTGGCTCCTACACGCCGGCCCCTTAGTTGATTATAATAAATAACATAACAATTACAAATATTACATAAAGGAGCCATAACAAATATTGAAGCACCACATGGCACAGACTGTAACAGTCCACATTAGTCATTTACCTCCAGCAATAGACAAAGCTTTCTTACAGGCCGTTCTAAAATACTACTCTTGATTTTAACCTTTACAGTTCGTACCAGACCATTATTATCTTAAAAGGTTTCTTATACTTGACCAACTGGCGCAGTATGATCCAGTAAATGTACAATGTCCCCTGTACTAAAACTTCGTCATTCCTTTGTCCATTTTTGACGTTTTTTGGAGTAGAGTAAGATACTCCTGTAACCATCTTTTTCAGAAAAGATCAGCTAAGTACTGCACTTGTTTCCATCTCCTTTTCACATAGAGATCTGTTCTTTCAAAAAGACCTGGTGGTAAAGCAGGCTTGCCTTTCATGAGAAGCAGTTGATTTGGAGTAAGAGCTTCAAGGTCATTGGGATCACTGGATACCTTGGTAATAGGACGATCATTTAGGATTGATTCTACTTCACACAGAATGGTACAAAAGGATTCGTCATTTAGTGTTTGCTGGCCAAGTACAGAGTAAAGAATGTCTCTCACCATACGAATAATGCGCTCCCATGCACCTCCATTATGGGAGCCAGTCGGTGAATTGAAGCTCCACTGAACCCCTACTTAAAGTAACTCCCTTTCAATTTGCCTGTCATTCCATGCAGAAATGGTCTCATTTACCTCTCTGTTGGCACCAATGAAGTTTGTCCCATTATCTGACCTAATGTGTACTACTTGAACTCTACGAGAAATAAATCTTCGTAGAGCATTTATACATCCATCTGTGTCTAAAGAATAGGCAACTTCCAAGTGCACCGCTCTACTTGCCATACAATTAAAAATCACTCCGTATCGTTTTACTGTACTATGTCCTCTTCTAACTTTGATAGGACCGAAGTAATCCACACCAGTATGTGTAAAAGGTGGAAGATCAGGTGTAATTCGTTCAAGAGGTAGATCTTTTGTTTGCCTGTCTTTCCTCTGTAACATCTACAGACAGTACATTTGGAAATGAATTTTTTTGCAGCAGCATTAGCTTTTATAATCCAATATGTTTGTCTCAGTTTGGACAACATATGATTCTTACCACAACGACCCAATTGGTCATGAATGTGATGACATAGAAGATTTTACACATGAAGATTTTTGGACAAAATGATAGGATGTTTGGATTCGATAGGCATGGCTGCCTTTCTAAGTCTTCCTCCTACTCTGATGAGTTTGTCATCCAATACAGGGTCCAATCTGTATATGCTGCTCTCCTTCTTGACCCCACAGGAACCATGCAAGTTGTTCAATCTCATCTTGAAACTGTTGCTGCTGACTGAAGTGAACAATGGCTATTTCGGCCTTAAAGAGGTCATCCAGTGACAAAAATTGTCCACCTAATGTTGCCTTAAATGACTTCATTTGTGCATCTATGATTGTTTTTGTAGCATTGCAATTTTTCCAGTAACAGTAATTCCTTTCTTTTTAGACATATCTGTTTCAGTAGCTTTTTTACCTTAAGCATCCAAGCAACCAGGCACGTGCACACATAGCGCTCAACCTGTGCAGTGCACATGCCCTTTTTATTCTTGGATAGAAAGTGCCCTTCCAAAATGATCAAAAGTGCCCCCGCGACGCGGCACATCTTCGGTCCCGCCCATCAGTAGGCGCGCGACAACACAGCTGATCAGTACGCGCGCATCCACTCTGCAGATCTGCAGCACCCCCGTCACCCCCCTTCCAAAAATCCTGCACATGCCCTTTGGACGGTCTCTGCACGGGCCTGCAAGCAACTGCCACCTTCAGTTTTTTTCCAGTCAGAAAAATATGCGATAAGACAGTCACTGGCATTCTGGATATCTTGCAGGACAACAGCATTCACTCTAAGATCTTTCTTGATCTCTGTATCATCATCTTGTTGCACATCGACAATTTGCTCTTTGGGGTGTAACTAATGCTCTTCTGTTCTCCAAAGAAAGCTAGGACCTGGAATCCATCTCTTGGTGTGCATAAATGCCTTGATATGCATTCCACTTGAAGCAACACCTGCAGGATTTTCCTTGGTGGCAACATATCTCCACTGCTGAAGCAATGTCCTATCTCTAATGTAAGAGACTCTATTTGCAACAAAGGTTTAAAAGCGTTTCTCTTTATTTTTGATGTACTTGAGCACATTTTGACAGTCAGTCCAA